AAAATCTGGTTGTATGGAGAAATGACAGCCCTATGCTCATCCTACAGTCAGTGGTGCTGGGATGGCAGATGCTGTTTTTTTTTTTTTCTCTCCACACATATGTAACTTAAATATTACTGACCTAATTTAAAACCTGGTCTGACACAAATTTGTTTCCATGCTGAAATGCCACATGCAAAATTTAAAACAAAAGCAAAATTTTATGGACAATTTATGACTCCCTGAGGACAAGGTTTGTAGAGGAGAAAAAGGTTGACAGAATAGCAGCTATCACCGTGCTGCTAATGCCTAAGGGGCACAGATATACTAGCACTTCTGTCTTAAAAAAATATTTATTGTATGATAAGTGCTGAAGGTATTCTGCTCAGTAAAAGACACATATGCAGCTATCGCCCTGGAAAACCTTCAGTATGAAGCTTTGAAACTGCAAATTTCTATGTGGATCTTCATCTGCAGAAGTCCAGAGGACTTTCCGGAGGCTTAAGAGACTGACTCCAAGTAAGTAAAAGAAGAGATATAAAGATACAGAACAAATGGCTCAGACCAGACAGATTAATACATAACTTCTAAAAACTCCCATTACAATTTGGAAACTTAAAACAAGGATGTCTTCTGACAGCTTTGAAACAGGCAAATAATGGCCTTCTCCTTTGTGCTGTTCATTCACCTCTAGCAAATAAAAGAGAAATGGGAAAAAGCCTTACCTCAAAATTGCCCTCAAAGGGTCAGCTCCAAGAAAGGGAAAAAAAAAAAAAAAAAGAGTAATTCATATTCCAGATCAAATCAATCCTCAAACTTTAAACTTTCAACTCAGAATACTAATAGTGATAGCTTTTCTGGAATGGAAGTTACCCACCAGAAACCAGACAATTCCACAAATTAATCACCAGAACTGCACTAGGACATAAAATAGCCTCTGCAAACCTTTATTCCAGACTCTCCCCTTATCCTAAATCCCTACACCTCTGTAAGTAGTTTGTCTCAGTCTGACAACATAGAGTGTGATGTCTGCTTCCAACTACTGCCCTCCAATTCACCAAGTTCCTCGCATAACCTCTGGATCAGAATGCGCACCATTTCAGAAAGCTTCTTTTTAAAGCCTGAAAGACAGTTTCTAGTCCTGGTTGACACAATCCATTTGTCATCTTGGCAAGCTGCTTTGGGCTTTAGGAAACTTACTTAACCTCTTCACTATCGGCTTCCAGGATTAAAGTAAAAAATAAAAATGCTGCTTTACAGGATTGTTACACTGAATAGATGTGAAACGCATAGAAGCACAGTAAAACTATCAATTTTGTTTACATCCACACTTGAGGCTTAATTCAGAGTCAAGAAAAACATAAAGCATTAATCTGTATTAGGTAAAAAGAAACTATATTCCATACTCCTATTTTTTTTCTACTTCTGTTGCTGAAATGACTAGATATGCTTAAACAAGGACCAGCAGAGGGTTGCAGATTGGCAGATCTTCTGGAAAGGGAATTAGCCAAAGTTGTTGCTTTTGTATCATTGCTGATCCTGAGTAACAGCGATCAAAGCATACAGAAGACAACTTACAGATGAACACTGTGCTGGAAAACACTTCACAAAGCTTCTATCTATTTAGACTATATATAACTAGTTAGTTAGACTATTATAACTAGTTAGATTTCTAACTACCTGCAGAGAAGTCACAAAACGTGAAGAACTGCGTAGAGAACTAAAATAGTAAAGGAAAAGCACATCTCCACACATCCTTATGAGTAGAGTAGTTGCCACAGTTTAGAATCATTGAATCATTAAAATCAGAAAAAAATCACTAAGATCAAGTAGTCCAATCATCAGCCCATTACCACAATGCTCACTAAAACATGTCCATCAGTGCCTTTTCTTGGACACCTCCAGAGACAGTGACTCAAACACCTCCTGGGCAGTCTCTGCAAACAATTCACCACTCTTTCAGAGAATAATTTTTTCCTAATACCCAACCTGAAACTCCCTGGCACAACTTGAGGCCATTACTTCTCATCCTATCCACAGTCACATGGGAGAAGAGGCTGACCCCCAACTCACCACAACCTCCTTTCAAGTACTTGTAGAGAGCAATAAGGTCTCCTCCAGACTTAAGAATCCCACAATACTTGTTTTCCTGATCCTTCACTAGCTTTGCTGTCCTTCTTTGGACACCCATTTTTTCTACCTTTCTTCTCAATCAGTGCTTTCAAATTTACTCTACAAGAACAGTGTCAGCACCAAAGCCTAGTAAAGTTCTTGGTGGAGATAATTTCATCAACTTCAACCATCTTCACCAACTAAAGATGATGCACTGAAGAACTGTCTCACTCAAGTTCCTCCTTGGTCATGTGTACATTATTCCTTATGCAACTAGAGCCAGGACATAGTCTTAAAGAATAGTTACAAGTGACTACACTGCGATAAAATATCATAGAATCATAGAACGGCTTGGGTTGAAAGGGATCTCAAGGATCATCAAGCTCCAACGCCCCTGACACATGCGGGGCCACCCCCTCCACATTTAATACTAGACCAGGCTGCCCAGGATTCCATCCAACCTGGCCTTGAGCACCTTCAGGGATGGGGCATCCACAACCTCTCTGGAGTTAAATCACGCAGCTTAAATGTATTTGGTCACAGAAATTCTTCAGTAAGCATGAGAAAACTGCCTACAAAATTAAATGCTTTGAAGATTTCCACTACTAGAAGCTCAACATTTGCCTATTCAAATGTACAAGGTATTGTAAAACATTTTCCCCAGACTTTGTACATATATGTTATCACTGGCAACAGATGTTTTGTTGAAATTCTGTACAATATCCATTGAACAGCACAAATAAAAGAACAATTGGCCACAGGAGGCTAAACACTCAAGAAGAATACTCAAGGTTCCTCATTTAATTGAAACTTCTGAGCATAATTCAAAGCAGGCTTGAGTTATGTTAAAATGAAATGATCACCACACCATTTCCTCTAGAAAAATCAGCTGTCCCCCATTGCCCAGATCTGTGCAGTTGTGAGAGTACAGGCTAGTACAAGAGGGTTCAGCTCAACAAGGCTCCTTGGTGTTTGAAAGGGAGATGGTGTGTCTGGATCTACAGCTCTGGGCGAGACATGTGGGTACCTAAGCGTATGAGGAGAGCTGATATACAAAAAAAGAGGTGCAGAAAATGAATAGAGATACTAAAAAGAACAAAACATTGGGTTAACTTAGAAGAAAAAACACTGAAAACAGCTTAAAATGTGTCCATCTCCAGGACAATACTAGTAGTATTCAACAAGGGTCTGGAAAGTTCCTCTGAAAGCAACTGTCTACAACTTCCTTCTCAAGAAACTGATTCCCCTCCCGTTGCACAGAACAGCATGAGCCTGACCATGTGTGTTACACTGGGGAAGGCAGTGTCTGCCATCTGGTTGTATGATGGCACAGCTTGTGGAGCCGTGGCTGCTCAGGGGACAGATCTGCTCCACATTTACAGTGTTCTCAGAGGTGTCAGCATTGATGGTAATGCCCCTGAGTTTGGAACTACACTGAGAAAGTGGCAGACGTTGGCTCTAATTCCCAGCTCTGTCTCCACAGGGTCAAATCATAGCATCATAGAAATGTTTTCATTGGAAAGGACCTTTAAAGGTCATCTAGTCCAACTCTCCTGCAATGAGAAGTGTTTTCTTCTATTTACTGCTCCCAGGGTGACGAATATACTTTACATTTGTATTGCACTTAACGACTAACAAACAAAACATATACAATTCTGGGAGTGATGTGGTATATCAAGGCTCTTATCTGCTTGGTTGTGTGGCTCAGATACAAATTAATTAAAATTCTTCTGGAAAGAGGAGAATAGCTGCACTTTTAGACCCCAGTAATGACCAAGCCTCAGACAGGCACCATTGCGCTGTCCATCATCAGTGGATGGCTGACAGTTCTTGAATAAAAGTTCAGCTGTGGGCATCTGAGGAACTTAAAAGTGAAAACTAAGATGTCATTAGAGAATAAAGAGGAGTTAGCAGCTGCCCGATGCCTTCAGCATTACAGCTATATTTGACAGCTACATTTCAGCTCAGGTAATTCAGAAGGGTCGGGGGAGAGGAAGGGAAGTGCTGAAATACTAAACTTAGACTGCTACTTTAAATAAAGTGGTTAGACTTGAACTGAAGCAGGAACTACTCGTCCACTGGATAACATGGGAGCCCAAGAACTGAATCCAGAGCACTCAGAAGCTCCTGCCCAAAGCTCCTATCAGAATTCTCAACAAATACGTATTTCTTCCTTCACTTCTTCCCAAACACAGGTCAATGGACTGTACTTTCCAGATCACGGCAGAGATGCACCACCAGCCTCAGTTCCTCTGAGTACAGCACAGCTCCACTCTTTGTCCAGTACTGCAAGTAACAGAGTGCATCACACAGAATAGAAGTGATAGCAGCATAGCAGCTGCACACTCTTCCTGAAGACTTTCTTAAAACTATCAGTTGGCAGCTGTACCAACATACTGTGGAGACTGACATTCTCTTTATTAATGACAAGGTTATTTTTTTTCTTCCCTTTCTCACACCCACTAATATCACATTTGTAGTACAAGCAACAGTTACTTCCTTAGCTTCCAGTTAGAGAATAATGCTGAGCAGAAGGATTTGGGCAAAGAGCAGAGGCAGCCAGCATTCCGAGCTCCCATCCCACCTCAACCCTCAGCTCCAGCACACGAATCCAACCCTCCTCCAACCTATCCCAAGTCCCTCTCTGAATCACTTCGCTTTAAGAAAAAAAAAAAAAAAAAAAAAAAAAAAAAGACTAAAACTTGAAATCAAACGTTGCGAGCACTCCTCGCCTTTTCAGCACCACGAGGAGCGATAAAAGTTGGCAGAACTCGCACGAGGGGATGCGCTCAGCCGGAGGTACAGGGATCCCGGCGCTACCTCCCGGCTGACCGCGGGAGCCCACCCGGTGCACGGGACCCCGCGCTACGACACGAGGGTTGCCCGGGGTCCGCTCCCCCCGCCGTTACCTCGATGTAAGGGACGATTTTGCAGGAGAAGTCCTCTAGGAGCCACTTCTTGGTAAGCTCCTGGAAGATGACCAGCGGCAGGCAGAAGAAGACGATGAGGAAGTCCCAGAAGGCCAGGTTGGCCAGCAGGGAGTTGGAGATGCTCCGCATGTAGTAGTTGTGGCAAACGATGCACATCACTGCCATGTTGCCCATGATGCCGATGCCGAAGATCACCACGGAGAGGCACATAACGGCGTAGGCACCGTACGACTCCTCGGTCAGCGGATAGAAGGGGTTCCGGAGCCGGGCTCGGCGCCCCGTACCGTTGCCGCGGCCCCCGGCGGCGCTCTCGCCGCGGGCAGAGCCGTTCAGCGGCAGCCACCGGGGGCCGCTCCCCGCCGCC